GAATTCAGAATTATTAGCCCCTTTGAGTTTTTTCCCTAATTTCTTTTTAACAAAGAGCACATTTTGTCAACACATTTCTAAACATAATAGTTTTAATAAATCATTTCTAATAACTGATTTGTTTTATCTTTGTCATGATGACAGTAAATAATATTTGACTAAATATTTTTTAAGACACTTGTATACAAACTTCTAAAGTGACATTTAAAGGCTTAATTAGGTTAACTAGACAGGATAGGGTAGTTGGGCAAGTTATTGTATAACGATGATTTGTTCTGAAGACTATCGAAAAAATATATAGCTTAAGGGGCTAATAATATTGACCTTAAAATGCTTTTTAAATTTTTTTATTCAAGCTGAAATAAAACAAATAAGACTTTCTCCAGAAGAAAAAATATTGTCAGACATACTGTGAAAATGTCCTTGCTCTGTATTTTCAAAAGGGGGCTAATAATTCTGACTATAACTATATATATATATATATATATATATACATAGTTTAGAAATATGAACATCATACATATATACATACAAATATATATATATACATACAAATATATATATATATATATATATATATATATTTATATATATATATATTTGTATGTATATATGTATGATGTATGTATGTATATAGATATGTGTGTGTGTGTGTGTGTGTGTGTGTGTGTGTGTGTGTGTGTGTGTATATATATATATATATATAGTATTTTATAGAACTGTCATTAATATTTATGCAAAAGTCTTAGAATATTACTCCAGTAGTTTCTTTACATTGTTTTTCAATTATATTTAGTATTAATTTCTGTTATTTATTTGAAATAATAATTGCATAATAATAATAATAATAAACAAATTGTTATATTTATTGAAAATAAATATATTAAAATGTATGTATAATAATTATCTTAAATGTATATATTTTAAATATATATATTTAAAATATATATATAAAGTCAACCACAAAGTGTCTTTATTTTTGGGAGATGGTGGGGGGTATGTTTGGGGTGCCCAGGGTGCCATTTAAACTAGAACCGCCATTGAGTTAGGGGGTAGTGAATCTCTGGCATTGTTATTTTAGGGGCCGCGGGCTGAAAAGTTTGGGAGGCCCTGGTCTAGTGGGTTGTCTACTGTCATTTTTACAGTGCGCGTTCGTGATTTCAGGAGGCGTGGCTTTGGACAGCAGGGGAGGAGCTGTGTTTTCAAAGCTATTATGCTAACGGCTAGCATTTTGGCAGATCTACAGAACAAACCATCATTATATAATGACTTGCCTTAATTACCCTAGTTTAGCCTTTAAATGTCACTTTAAGCTGAATAATATCTTGAAGAATATCTAGTCAAATATTATTTACTGTCATTATGTCAAATATAAAAGAAATCAGTTAATAGAAATGAGTTAATTATATATTAATTAATTATGAGTTGAATTATATATAATATTAAAACTATCATGTTTAGAAATGTGTTGGGAAAAATTTGCTCAGATAACACGCTTTACACTAAATATTAATTTCCATCACACACAATGCACAAAAACACACCACACACAATAGACATTCAGTATTTATCCCTCACCGGAGAAGAACTGGGCCTTGAAGCCCTTCTTGGACACGGTGTTGTCGGACTTGAACTCGATGCGCATGTTGTTGTATTGTGAAGTGATGGCCTCGGGTTTCTCAGCGCCGCAGAATTTGCCATGCAGTCTGGAGTCCGCAGAGAGACCGCTTCTCACCTCCACGAAATCATACTTACACACCTGCACAGAACACAACAACACTGAGCTGATTCCACTGAGGTATGAACCGCCGAGGTGAAACTCTGACCGAACTAACAAAAACACTGCAGATGATGATATTTGAAAAACCGGCCACTAACTTTTATTTTGACACTTTTATTTCAACGCCAATTTTTATATTGTATTGTTTTTATTATTTATCGGCTGATTTAGATATTTAAAATAATCGGCCGATAATTTTTATTTTGACACTTTTATTTTGAGGGCATTTATTTAAGCAGATATTTAGCCGATATAATTGTATTTATTTGCCAATGAATTAAAAAAAAACATGTGCAAACACTTTAATAAAAAAAGAGATGACAGAGTGCAAAAGGAAGAATGATGGGCATCAAAATAAAAGTCCCACCTCAAACACACTAGCCACACAAAAAAAAAAAACCTATGAGCTAATGCAGATATTTGAAAAAATCGGCCGATAACTTTAATTTTGACACCTTATTTCAACGCCAATTTTTATATTGTATTGTTTTTATTATTTATGGGCTGATGTAGATATTTAAAAATATCGTCTGATAATTTTTATTTAGACACTATTATTTTGAGGGCATTTAATTAAGCAGATATTTAGCTGATATAATTTTATTTATTTGCTAATGGATAAAAAAAAAAAACATGTGTAAACACTTTTATAAAAAAAAAAAGAGATGACAGAGCAGAAGGAAGAATGATGGGCATCAAAATAAAAGTCCCACCTCAAACACATCAACCAAACAGAAAATCATATCGGCTGATTCAAATATTTAAAAAATTGTCTGATAACTTTTATTTTGACATTTTTATTTTTACGGCATTTATTAATATTGTATTGAATTTATTATTGTATTTATCAGCTGATGCCAATATTTAGAAAAAAATAATTATGCTGATAACTTTATAACTTTTATTTTGACGACATTAATTTAAGCAGATATTAAGCCGATATAATTGTATCTATTTGCTAATAGATTAAAAATACATGTGTAAAGACTTTTATTAAAAAGAGATGACGGAGAGATAAAGGGAGAGTGATGGGCATCAAAATAAAAGTCCCACCTCAAACACATTAGCCACACAGAAAAACCTATGAGCTAATGCAGATATTTGAAAAAAATCGGCCGATAACTTTTATCTTGACGGCATTAACTTAAGCAGATATTTTGTTGATATGAGTGTATTTGCTAATGGATTAAAAAATATATAATAAAAGGCATCAAAGGGCATCAAAATAAAAGTCCCGCCTCAAACACATCAGCCAAACAGAAAAACGTATCGGCTGATGCAGATATTTGAAAAACGTTTAACTTTTATTTTGACGGCAATTATATTTAACCAATATAATTGTATGACCAAACTAACACAAACACTGCAGATGACGGTCTCCTGGGGAGGGTCTCGTACTAGTGACATTACTCCATTCCTGCTATCTTTTAGCTCGTACAGACTTTCGATGTTCTGCATTACTGTAAACAGACCTGTTTTTGTGCTCATAGTTATGTGTGTGTGGTAATTGACAGCATAATCGCTGATGCAGTCGACAGAGCATAACCTGCACGAACCCGAAAACATTCCTGGCTTCAATTTATTCAGCAATTATATTAGAAGACTATTAATCTGAAGCTATAGAATGCTCAGGGAAAAAACTTGCGGCTGCTTTTATCACATGTTTTAGTGGCTCGGCTAATTCAACAGACTAATAGCTATTAAAAAAATAAAACAGCCCGCGCCAACAGCCTCATTTTCTTCCCCAAATCACTCTAATGTAATGATGTTGCTGCTATATTAAAGCAGTGTTGCTGGGTATTAAAATCTGTGACATTGTCATGTCAAATAATGAAGACAGACTGGATGCCAGATGGCCCTTTAAAAATACAGCTAGTAATATTTATTTTATAGTGTCTCATCTTGCTTTAGTAGGAGCTTTTAATTGTGCGTATTTACACGCAGTAACATTATTCCTAATGTCTATAGCAAGTACATGTTGTTAAAGTGCCATTGCTGTGCTTTTACTTTAACTTTCACGATGTGTGTAATGTTGAAGTAAACGTGAATGCAAAAAAAGTTGGTTCAAAGTGATTCTCAATTGTGTTGGTGTCATTTCATTCATTCATTCATTCATGTTCATTCATTAATTTTTTCATTCATTCATTTATTTTTTCATGTTCATTCATTCATTTTTTATTTATTCACATTCATTCATTCATTTTCATGTTCATTTATTCATTTTTATTCATTCACATTCATTCATTTTTTCATTCATTCATTTATTTTTTATGTTCATTCATTCATTCATTCATTCATTCATTCATTCATTCATTCATTCATTCATTCATTCATTCATTTTTTCATTTATTCATTTATTTTTTCATGTTCATTCATTCATTTTTATATTTATTTACATTCATTCATTCATTTTTCATGTTCATTCATTCAATTATTTTTTATTCATTCACATTCATTCATTCATTCATTCATTCATTTTTTCATGTTCGTTCATTCATTCATTCATTCATTTTTATTCATTCACATTCATTCATTCATTCATTTTTTCATTAATTCATTCATTAATTCATTCATTCATTCATTTTTTCATGTTCATTTATTCATTTATTCATTCATTCATTTAATTATATAAATGAATGAATAAATCTGCATCGGCTGATGCAGATATTTAAAAAGGTTTAACTTTTATTTTGAAACTTTTATTTTGACGGCAATGATATTTAACCAATATAATTATATCTATTTTCTAATAGATAAAAAAATATGTGTAAAGTAAAGACTTTTATTTAAAAAAAAAAGAAACGATTGAGAGCAAAAGGGAGAATGATGGGCATCATTCAAGCACATCAGCCAAATTGAAAACCTTATTACCTTATTAGTATTTGAAAAATTGCCGATAATTTTTATTTTGACACTTATTTCAACGGCAATAATTTATATTGTGTTGTATTTGTTATTGTATTTATCGGCTGATGCAGATATTTAAAAATTTGCCCGATAATTTTTATTTTGACTGCATTTATTTGAGCAGATATCATGGGCATCAAAACAAAAGTTCCTACTCAAACACATCAGCCAAACAGAAAAACTTATCAGCTGATGCCGATATTTGAAAAATCGTCTGATAACTTTTATTTTGACGACACTTATTCTGTCGGTTTGCACAGGAAATAAAGCTAAAATTGACAACTGGAACTGACAACTTGCTTCAGGCCATTTGGAATTTTTAGTCAATTAATATATTGGCCATGGCAATTAATATCGTTCATGCTAATTGAAAAAGCTAATTATCATCAATGTTAAAAACAGACACAATAAAATAAAATTACAATAAAATTACAATAACATTTACAATTAAACTGAAAATGACAATAAAATTACATTAAATTCATAATTTATATGTTATTTTTTATTATTAATATGCTATTAAACAATTAGTAATATGTATTATTATGCTTCGTGTTTGCTAAGGATGTGGATTAAAGACACTGACGCTGTAAAAATGTGCTGTTTCTTGCACAGACCAATTATTTTGCTTCACAGGATCTTGGTCATTGCCATGGGTATTCATTTTGCTTTGCCTGCAGCAGTTAAAGGCTGATTTTGGTTTCCTGAATCACCCCGGTTTCAGCTTAAAAATCATCTTTAATGCTCCAGTGATTAAAAACACAGCTAAATCTTGGATGACCTGAGGGTGAATAAATTAACAGCAAATTTTCATTTCTGGCTGAACTACGCCTTCAAATGTGCAATGACACTGAATCACAATACAATAATGTGTTACCTGCATTACACTAGAAGTACCATAGAATATTTAGTAATGTACTTTAAAAACATACTTCACTCACTCTTCACTTGCTCCAAACATTTATGAGTTTATTTCCTGAATTTATTTATTTATTGTGTGTTGATCACAAAAGTAGATACTTTGAAGAATGTTGAAAAAAGTTATCATTTCAGCCAACATTTAAAAAATATATATATCTTCTAAGAACTTCAAACTGGTTTGGAGGAAGTGAAGGGCGACATTTGTACCTTTCTATTTTTAAGTGAAAGTGTCCATTTAAAGGAACACTCTACATTTTTCTAGCTTTGTTTTATTTTGCTTTTGGAAACAGGCTCAGTTTACAACTCCCCTAGAGTTAAACAGTTGATTTGTACCATTTTTAAAGCCAATTTCCGGGTCTGGCAGGAGCAATTTTAGCTTAGCTTAGCATAATTCATTGAATCAGATTGAACCATTAGCATCACGCTCAAAATTATTTTTGATATTTTTCCTATTTCTAGCCTGACTCTTCTTTTGGTTTTGTACTAAGACTAACATAAAATGGAGAGGTTGCTATTTTATAGGTGGATATGACTAGGAACTATCCCATTTTTGATCCCCGGCTCTGGCGGGAGCACTTTTAGCTTAGCTTAACACAGATCATTGAATCAGTTAGCCATTAGCATCACACTCAAAAAAGTATCAATATTTTTCCTTTCTAGCTTGACTCTTCTGTAGTTATGTACTAAGACTGATTGAAAATGAGAAGTTTCTATTTTTATAGGTGGATTTGACTAGGAACTATACTCTCAATATGGCGTAATAATAAAGGAACTTTGGTGCCGTATCACGGCTGCAGCAGAGACAATGATAACATGCACTGCTGTTAGGTATTTAGCTAGCTGGGGATTGTACTGTAATTGTTTGTTTTGTTGTTGTTTTTTTCTTTTTAGACAGATGCTAATGGTCCAATCTGATTCAATGATTTATGCTAAGCTAAGCTAAAAGTGCTCCTGCTACATATCGAATAAGCAAATATAAAGACAATCTGGAGAAATCATACCCTAAAACCCTGCACTGTAAAAAGCCATTAGTTACTTTACTTTAAAACAGTTAATAAACCCGTTACCTTTACAAGCAACAAGTTGATTTTACTTTAAAATGTCAGCAAACTTTATTTATAAAAGGTAACTTTTATAATTATGCATATAGTTTGTTTCCTTAATAATTATAAGGCAATGAGTTTACTGTCTTTTTTTTCAAGTAAAGTCAGCTAAATGTTTTTTACAGTGTGTGATGATTCGGTTATTAGCGAGATGCTAACGGTCCAATCTGATTCGATGGTTTATGCTAAGCTAAGCTAAAAGTGCTCCCGCTACAAATCAGGTGAGCAAACATAAAGGCATTTTGGAGAGGTCACTCCCTAAAGCACTGTGGTGATGTACACCAATTCAGCAGAAATGAACCAGACAGACCCACCCCACTCAGTGGTAAAAACCTAGTGCTCACATCGTTGCCCTCGGTCTCGAAGACGTCGAAAAGCAGCGTGATGCGGTACTGCGTCGGCGCCACGAGCTGCCAGATGCAGTTCTTGTTAGGTGGGTACTCTTTGGGCCAGCCGGGACTGGTGATGGACCCGTTCAGCTTGGTGATGAAACCCCCACAGGCAGCTGGAGGGAAAAAAAAAAAAACAACAACAACTATAAGACAAACAGGCAAAATAACATTACACAAGAATGTATGATGTAGAGCAGAGGGTGTACTGCAGAAAGGTCCTGAGCTTAAAACCTTATTCTATCTGTTTAGTAACCATGGTAGGTAGATTAGGACCACGGTTAGGTCAAAAGCTATAACAGAACAGCATCTGCTATGCTTGTTATCCAATCTTAAGGGGATGGTTCGCCCAAAACTGAAACATAACTCTATCAATCTCTTGTGGTTCCAAAGTTTTATGAGTTTAGTTTTTTTTATGGCGCAATCTGAAAACCGGTACTGTTAGGAAGGGGTTATTACAGCTTTATTACAATGTTATTATAACATAACTTTACAGCTGTGCTAACAGCTGTCTTAACATAAAAATGATTGTCCAACAATGGCCTTAAAAAAATAAATACAAATAAATACCAAAAATATAATATTAATAATAATAATAATAATAATAATAATAATAATAATAATAATAATAATAACTGTATTATTAATAATTATATTATTATTAATCTCATTATTATTAATAGTAATTTTATTATTATTATTATTGTTATTATTACTATTATTAATAGTATTATAATTTTATTATTAATATTATTATTATTAGTATTAATATTAATATTATTATTAATATTATAACTATTATTAATAATGTTACTATTATTATTATTATTATTATTAATAATCTTATTACTTTTTATTTATATTTATTATTATTAACATTATTATTATTATTATTATTATTATTACTAATAGTATTATAATTTTTATTATTATTATTATTAGTAGTAGTAGTAGTATTAGTAGTATAAATTATATTATTAGTTGTCTTGTTATTATTATTATTATTATTATTATTATTATTATATAACTATTATTAATCTTATGATTATTATTAATAATTGTATTAATATTATTACCATTAATCTTATTATTATTATTATTATTGTTATTATTATTATATTATTAATAATAATCATCATATTATTAGTTTCATTATTATCAAAACATTTATTATTATTATTATTAATGTTATTACCATTATTAATGATCTCACAATTATTATAATTAATAGCATTATCATTTTTATTATTAATATTATTATTTTATTATTATTTATTATCATTATTATAATTTATTTATAATTATTACTAATATTATTATAATTTGTTTTATTAGTAGAAATAGTATTAGTCATAATATTATTAGTTATCTTATTATTATTAATATAATCATATAACTATTATTAATATTATTATTATTATTATTATTAGTCGTAGTAGTAGTAGTAGTAGTATTATTCGTATTAATGGTATTACTATTAATCTTGTTATCATAATCATATAATTATTATTGCTAGTATTATTATTATTATTATTAATAATAATATAAAAATTTAAAAAATATATATCTACATATATGCGTAACAGAAAGTGCCTTCCACAATTCCACAAACATTATTTGTATCAGGGGAAATATTATTATTTGAAATTATTTTAAATGTTTTTAGCACTGAACCACAAATGTTTTTTTTAAGAACTGTTCACTGAAAGACTCATTGGGGAGCCATGGCTACTGCCATCACTGTGAAATACAAATAAATCGAATTCTTTCAAAATATGAGGGGGGAAAACTGTGTGTGTGTGTGTGTGTGTGTGTATGCGTGTGTGCGTGTGTGTGTGTGTGTGTGTGCGTATGTAAGCTTACAATATACACACAGCACACCTAGATTACAAAGCACTCTTCAACTCATCAATCTGAGCAGCGTGTTTGTGTAAACCAGCGCATTCAACATACAGTATAAACTAACAAGAGCAGTCCTGCTTTCATTACAAAAACACACACACACACACAGAACAACCCCAGGCTGTATATCTCATCAAACACCAAGCAGAAAGACAGAGCAGTTTAGTTTAGTGCGGTACAATCCAAATTAACAACCGGATCCCCTACAGCGCTCGGCGCTCCGGGAGAGACGTTTCCATGGCTACAAACATGCCATTTAGAAGCCTTTGGACAACCACTGCCTTCAACTTTCAGCTCTGTGTACATTTAAGCCCTCAGTGGGTCTCCATTCCCACAGGACACTCATGCAGTAAAGGCTTTCAGCGTGGCCCGTTCTTCTGTCAGAAAGAGCAGCGCGGTAATTATGATAATGCTGGATTTACTGCTGATATGATGCACGGTCAATATACACTCACCGGCCACTTTATTAGGTACACCTGTCCAACTGCTCATTAACGCAAATTTCTAATCAGCCAATCACATGGCAGCATCTCAATGCATTCAGGCATGTAGACATGTAGGCATGAGTCTTCATTTCTGCTGCCACATTTGGATGGTCGGGTCAGAATTTGGCATCAACAACATGAAAGCATGGATCCATCCTGCCTTTAATTAATTGATGGTTCAGACTGCTGGTGTAATGGTTTGGTGGATATTTACTTGGCACACTTTAGGCCCATTAGTATCGATTGAGCATCGTGTCAACACCACAGCCTACCTGAGTATTGCTGCTGACCATGTCCATCCCTTTATGACCACAGTTAGTAACCATCTTCTAACGGCGACTACCAGCAGAATAAACCGCCATGTCATAAAGCGTGAATCATCTCAGACTGGTTTCTTGAACATGACAATGAGTTCACTGTACTCAAATGGCCTCCACAGTCACCAGATCCCAATCCAATAGAGAACCTTTGGGATGGGGTGGAATAGGAGATTCGCAACATGGATGTGCAGCCGACAAATCTGCAGCAACTGTGTGATGCTATCATGTCAATATGAAGCAAAGTCTCTAAGGAATATTTCCAGTCTCTTGCTGAATCAATGCCACGAAGGATAAAGGCAGTTCTGAAGGCAAAAGAGGGTCCAACCCCGGTACTAGTAAGGTGTACCTAATAAAGTGGCCAGTGAGTGTGTGTATATATATAAATATATATATATATATATATATATATATATATTTTTTTTTTTTTTTTTTTTTTTTTTTTTTTTTTTTTGGGGAATTCTTGGGTTTTTTTTTTTTTTTGCAATCTAATGAAGAAATGATTTACAGATCGCACTCCAGTCTGTCACGATTGAGATGTTGAGTCATCTCGGTGCATGTCTGAACAAACAGATTTCTGCTCAGTAGAGCAGCTGCAGGGTACGTGCTGTCCTAGCAACTGCCTCGCGTACTGTATCCACACACATTAGCACACAATTCACCAGCAGACGTTAGCTGTTACACAATCCTTTACCTAAGAACGCTTCGACCTTTTGCTGGAGAGGAATATGATAAAAACCATTCCGGTTCTAGTCACTGAGATAGCAAGAGTGGTGTTTTGTAAGCGTTGTGTGCGGAGGAGGGTAAAGAAAGCCTGTCAGTGTGAGGAAGGCGCTCGTAACTTGCTGGCAGGCCCGAAAGTCAATAGCACAAAACAGATGTCGGCGGTTTGTCAACAGCTCAAGCAGGAGTAGTAATTACGAGGGCGCAGGAGCGCAGACTGTCCACTAGAGGCAGAGTGCATGCAGTGATTGGTGCCTTTAAAGTTTTTTAAAGGAATGCTCCACTTTTTTTTCCAGAAACAACTTCATTCTCAGAGCAACACAGTGGCACAGTGGTTAGAACTGTCGCCTTACTGCAAGAAGGTCGCTGCTTCGAGTCCCGGCTGGACCAGTTGGCATTTCTGTGTGGAGTTTGTGTGAGTGTAAATAAGTGTGAATGGGTGTTTCCCATGGTGGCTCAGTAGTTAGAACTGTCGCCTCACTGCAAGAAGGTCGCTGGTTCGAGTCCCGGCTGGACCAGTTGGCATTTCTGTGTGGAGTTTGTGTGAGTGTGTGTGTAAATAAGTGTGTATGGGTGTTTCCCATGGTGGCTGAATGGTTAGAACTGTCGCCTCACAGCAAGAAGGTCGCTGGTTCGAGTCCCAGCTGGACCAGTTGGCATTTCTGTATGGAGTTTGTGTGAGTCTGTATGTAAATGAGAGTGTATGGATGTTTCCCATGATGGCTCAGTGGTTAGAACTGTTGCCTCACAGCAAGAAGATCGCTGGTTCGAGTCCCGGCTGGAACAGCTTGCATTTCTGTGAGGAGTTTGTGTGAGTGTGTGTGTAAATAAGTGTGTATGGGTGTTTCCCAAGGTGGCTGAATGGTTAGAACTGTCGCCTCACAGCAAGAAGGTCGCTGGTTCGAGTCCCAGCTGGACCGATTTGCATTTCTGCGTGGAGTTTGTGTGAATCTGTATGTAAATGAGTGCGTATGGGTGTTTCCCATGGTGGCCCAATGGTTAGAACTGTCGCCTTACAGCAAGAAGGTTCGAGTCCCAGCTGGAACAGCTTGCATTTCTGTGAGGAGTTTCTGTGAGTGTGTGTGTGTAAAATGAGTGTGTATGGGTGTTTCCCATGGTGGGCTCAGTGGTTAGAACTGTCGCCTCACTGCAAGAAGGTCGCTGGTTCGAGTCCCGGCTGGACTAGTTGGCATTCCTGTGTGGAGTTTGTGTGAGTGTAAATGAGTGTGTATGGGTGTTTCCCATGGTGGCTCAGTAGTTAGAACTGTCGCCTCACTGCAAGAAGGTCGCTGGTTCGAGTCCCGGCTGGACCAGTTGGCATTTCTGTGTGGAGTTTGTGTGAGTGTGTGTGTAAATAAGTGTGTATGGGTGTTTCCCATGGTGGCTGAATGGTTAGAACTGTCGCCTCACAGCAAGAAGGTCGCTGGTTCGAGTCCCAGCTGGACCGATTTGCATTTCTGCGCGGAGTTTGTGTGAATCTGTATGTAAATGAGTGCGTATGGGTGTTTCCCATGGTGGCCCAATGGTTAGAACTGTCACCTTACAGCAAGAAGGCTACTGGTTCGAGTCCCAGCTGGAACAGCTTGCATTTCTGTGAGGAGTTTCTGTGAGTGTGTGTGTAAAATGAGTGTGTATGGGTGTTTCCCATGGTGGCCCAATGGTTAGAACTGTCACCTTACAGCAAGAAGGCTACTGGTTCGAGTCCCAGCTGGAACAGCTTGCATTTCTGTGAGGAGTTTCTGTGAGTGTGTGTGTAAATGAGTGTGTATGGGTGTTTCCCATGGTGGGCTCAGTGGTTAGAACTGTCGCCTCACTGCAAGAAGGTCGCTGGTTCGAGTCCCGGCTGGACCAGTTGGCATTTCTGTGTGGAGTTTGTGTGAGTCTGTATGTAAATGAGTGTGTATGGGTGTTTCCCATGATGGCTCAGTGGTTAGAACTGTCGCCTCACAGCAAGAAGATCGCTGGTTCGAGTCCCGGCTGGAACAGCTTGCATTTCTGTGAGGAGTTTGTGTGAGTGTGTGTGTAAATGAGTGTGTATGGGTGTTTCCCAGTAATGGTTTGCGGCTGGAAGTGCATCTGCTGCATAAAACATATGCTGGATAAGCTGGCGGTTCATTCCGCTGTGGCAACACCTGATTAAAAAAGGCACTAAGCCGAAAAGAAAATGAATGAGTGAATGAATGAATGATTTCTCTAATTCCAATGCTGTCGCTGCTCTACAGAATCTTTATCAGCACACAATAGCACTGGCCCATCTCCAGCACTGTACTGTACTGACCTTCACAGCTCCGTTTGTCCGCCGCCAGTTCGTAACCGGGGTCACAGGCGCACTTGTAACTACCCAGAGTGTTGACACAGCGTTGCTCACAGCGACCGTTGTCGGGTCTGGAACACTCGTCCATTTCTGCAACAACAAGGACATATTTTATAGGAGCAGAGCTAATATCGGAGCAAACATTGGTAATGCTTTACATGAAGTTGTGTTCGTAAGACACGTCAGGAATATAAATGATATTGCAGAGTGCATGCAGTGATTCGTGCCCTATTCAAGTTTCTTAAATAAATGCTCTACTTTCCAGAATTAACTTAATTTTTTGAGCACTTTTAGCTTAGCTTAGCATAGGTCATTGAATCGGATTAGACCATTAGCATCATGCTCAAAATTTTTTTGATGATTTTACTATATAAAACAACACAATTCTTATGTTTTTTTGGAACAATATAATAATTTATGTTCACTTAAATTTGTAAAAGCACTGACTTTCAAATATTGGAGCAAATATTGGTAGCACTTAACTTAAAGGGGTGTTCGTAAGACACGTCAAAAATATAAATGAGATTGAAGAGTGCATGCAGTGATTCGTGCCTTATAGGAACACTCCACTTTATTTCCAGAAACAACTTAATTTTTTGAGCACTTTCAGCTTAGCTTAGCATAGGTCATTAAATCGGATTAGACCATTAGCATCATGCTAAAAAAAAAGTAAAACTTTTGATTATTTTCCTATTTAAAAAAACAACACATTTCTTAAGCTTTTTTTGGAACAACATAACATTCAATTCATTTAAACTTGTAAAAACAATAACGTTGACTTTCTAATATCGGAGCAAACATTGGTTACACTTTACTTGAAGGGGTGTTCCTAAGATAGGTAAGGAAAATAAATAACATTGCAGATTGTATGCAGTAATTCGTGCCTTATTCAAGTTTCTTAAAGGTACACTCCACTTTTTTCAAGAAATAACTTCATTTTAATGCTCACCTAGAGTTAAACTGTTGAGTTTTTAGCACTTTTACCTTAGCATAGGTCATTGAAAGGGATTAGTTCATTAGCATCGTGCTCAAAAAATTCAAAAAAGATTTTGATAACTTTCTTAATTAAAACAAAACAACTCTTAAGCTTCATCATAATTTATGTCTATTAATTTGGACTTCAGCTGTATGCGTGTTCCCGAAATCTCCGAATAATGTTAAATTGACGTTTCTGAAATTTCTAAGCGTGCAGCAAACAATTCGACAGCTCACCTTTGAAGAAATTGGCAGCAAATCCGGCCTTATTAACAGAACCGTCAGACACGAATTTCATCCAGAGCTGGTTGGAACTGGATTTAATATCATCAGGTTTGTCATAACCGCAGAACCTGCCCAAAAGCGGGCTGCTTTCCGAGTTCCCGTCTCGAACCTCCAGGTAGTCGTACGCACAGTTATCATGCCTCTCGATCTTGCATTGAAAAGACAAAACATGAAAGAATAAACGGAAAAGATAAGTTTAAAGCTGTCAGATGACAAATGTAAATGACATTTGTAAAATGTAAAATGACAGAGCTATAACTCTGTTTTCAAATAGTACGTATTCGTTTCTTTCTTTCTTTTTTACTCCAGCTGGCTACAGATGATCTAAATTAAACCCAGAGACATCAGAATAATATGTAAATGCTGTTGTCGTTTATTTCAGTAACAATGTAGATTAAGTGTCAAATTGTATTGTGACACAGTTCCTAGAGAAACGCTATATTAAAAAGGCTCATTCTGGAAATGTAGCACCGCGGGCGTTTCTGGAGACCGCGAAATACTTCCCAGGAGGTACGTATTTGTGCAGTTTTTGTTTTCGCGAATCCGCTGTGGCCGCTGTGCGCGCTTTTTCACGTCTTGAACGCCTCTAGGGAGTGCGCGCAGTTCACGCCTGCACTCACATAAAAAGCCTCCGAAGGCTGCTGTCGAGCGACCGTCTGTCCGACTGACTGACTGAATGAATGACTAAACTATTGCCTGGGCGGCCGGCCAATCGGGAAACCCAGCCACCCTCCTCCTCCTACTTCCCTTAACCCAAGCGACGATTTACAAAAGCCGTCCAGAAAAAGAAAAGCCCTCATCCGATTTTGACCGCGTTTTCAGATTTCACAGCATTCTCACCCTGTTACGAACTCGCTCACTTTATTTTTTGGATTCTGTTTTTTCTCACCTGATTTCTGGAACTGCTCTTCCCCGGACTCGAACCCTATTGTCGAACGCGGTCAGCTCCTCCTCCGGGCCTCCGCTCCACCGGCGTAACACGACGAGCTAACCGGACAAACTGGTTGCGGCGGAAAAGCCCTCCACACAGAGGAGGTGAGCCGTCCGCCGGCGAGCGCGAAGAGAAGCAGCGTCACACCGCCCCATAACATTTGCTTAAAAACCAAATGCAGCCATACGTACCTCAGGCCACGTAAATCGCGGTCTCCAGAAACGTTTACGGGGCTACGTTTTCAGAATGAGCTTGGGTTGTAAATGAGAAAACAGTGGGCGTGGCTTTTTTTCCACCAGGAGCTGATTGGATATAATAAAGTAGTTGTTTAATTCAGAAAGATCTGGAAAAGGGTTTTATTTTAGAAGAATTTTTAGAATAGTTTTTTTAAACTAACAGACTCCTCCTCCTCATCACTATTTCTGTTCGTTATTGTCTAAACTGACAGCTGGAGGGGCGTGGTTAAGTATGTTAGCCACGCCCAATAACTCACACAGACCTAATCTAAGAATTTAACTGAAAACAATCAGGACGTGCATTTGCAGATTTCAATCAAAGAGCTTAGAATGACCAAGAGGCGACACTCAATACAACGATCTATGCAAGAGCAGCATTCAGCAACAGCCCCGGATTCCGCCATTTTGGAGTAAAAGAGATCGGCTGTCCATTGGATCTTATTGCTGTCGCGATGGCAAGCAGCTGCTTTTTTTTTATTTATTTATTTAAAAAGTGCATTAAAGCTGAGATACATCCTGAAAGATGACAATACAACACGTACAATCACAATCATCAGCACTTTTAACAGTTCATTTTACAGACTTATAATATGCTGTTGCTCTATTGGAGTTTTCTTTTCAAAATGGCCGCCTCGCCATCTAGTGGCTGTTTCCCAAATTGCACTAGAGTGTCGCCTCTTAGTGATTCTATGCTCTTTGTTTCAATTAAAGATTACAAGGGCAAACTATTGTTTTTTTTTCTTAATAACATGCACAGATGAATTGTTCACCACAAAACTAGCAATGTGAGCGAACAAAATCAATATGCTTAGTTTTGATTTCATGCCAACTATAACTAGTGGCTGCTTATAATGTATGATCCTAATCCTACACATTATCCAAACCCAACTACTACTTTACTAACTATAAATTAGCAGCAAATCTAATAGCTTATTGAGCTTAAAATCATAATTAATAGCAAGAAATGTGCCTTAAAACAAAATGTGACCATTATTCTGTCATTCTTATTATGGTTTTACACACACTTTTTCAATACACCACACTTTCTAAATTGGTGTATAAGCAGTTAATTACATGCAGTGATAACTCGTTTTTTGATCATACCTCAAAAGACTGGAAGGTGAGGCCGACGTGGTAACCCTGGGCAACGGTGATCTTCCACACGCACACTTTGTTCGGTCTGTAGTCGTCTGGGTAGTTTGGAGACTGAATTTGACCATTGTCTTTCTTCACTTCCCCACCACAAATAGCTGAAAGAGCACACATTATACATCAATATCACTGGGAGAAATAACCATAAGGACACTGAGGCCATAAACGTGACAGAGCATGAAAACAGCGGCTGGAGTAATGTTTCAATGTTTCCTAGAACTATTTGTGAAAAAACTTTTATTGAAATCTTTACATGTCAAGAACTGGAAACTATTTTCAGGAACTCCTTCTTTTGGCATAACTAAGCAGGTATGCATTTCATTACACAAAATATTATGTCAAAAATGCTGGGTTGTTGTAACCCGATGTTGGGTCAAATATGGAAAGTGTAAACACATTTTTTTTTATTGCTGAATTTTATTGAGTTAGAGAAGAAAAAAACACACAACGCTGCACTCAAATGTGATGCATAAATGCTGCTAACATTTGGTTTCTGAATATCTATGTATTGTAAAACTTCAAACACTCTGCATTTACCCAATTAGTGTACACTTATTTTACTGTAGTTCCTATTATGCTGGATTAAACTCTGCTCAGAAGTAGAAGCTTCAAAGTGGCATTCCTAGAACTAAAATTGTACTTAATTCATGTGTTGCAAACACACCTAAATTCAGGCTCTTCTTCCAAAAGTTCTAGGAACTATTGTTCTAGTTCCAGGAAAAAGTTCTGCACTTTTGGAGTAAAGTTGGATCCAGCACAATAGGAACTACCAGCCATTTAATTGTACACAAGCTAGTCGAATGCCTGCCAAACCAAACAGGTTCTCCTTCCAATAGTTCTAGAAACTTATGTTCTAGTTTCAGGAAAAAGTTTGGTCCTTTTGGAGTACGGTTGAGTTCAGCACAATAGGAACTACCAATGATTTGTGTGTACACTAGCTAGTCGAATGCAAATCAAACCAAACAGACTCTTCCTTCCAATAGTTCTAGGAACTATTGTTCTAGTTTCAGGAAAAAGTTCTGCACTTTCGGAGTAGAGTTGGGTCCAGCCCTATAGGAACTACCAATGATTTGAGTGTACACTAGCTAGGCGAATGCAAGTCAAACCAAACAGGCTCTTCTTCCAATAGTTCTAGGAACTATTGTTCTAGTTCCAGGAAAAAGTTCTGCCCTTTTGGAGTTAAGTTGGATCCAGCACAATAGGAACTACCAGTGATTCTAGTGTACACTAGCTAGTCGAATGCACGCCAAACCAAACAGGCTCTCCTTCCAATAGTTCTAGGAACTTATGTTCTAGTTTCAGGAAAAAGTTCTGCCATTTCAGAGTAGAGTTGGGTCCAGCACTATAGGATCTACTATTAATTTGAGTGTACACTCGCTGGGCGAATGCACGCCAAACCAAACAGGCTCTTCTTCCAATAGTTCTAGGAACTATTGTTCTAGTTCCAGGAAAAAGTTCTGCCCTTTTGTAGTAAAGTTGGATCTCGCACAATAGGAACTACCAGTGATTTAAGTGAACACTAGCTGGGCGATTACACACCAAAACAAACAAGCTCTTCATAAAATAGTTCTAGGAACTATTGTTCTAGTTCCAGGAAAGCATTCTGCCCTTTCAGAGTAGGGTTGGATCCAGCACAATAAGAACTATCTAGTGTTTTAAGTGTACACTAGCTAGGTGAATACATGCCAAAACAGGCTCTTCTTCCAAAGTGTTCTAGGAGATATTGTTCTACTTCCAGGAAATAGTTCTTCCCTTTCAGAGTAGGGTTGGATCCAGCACAATAGGAACTAGCAATGATTTAAGTGTGCACTGTGTGGTCGACTGCATGCCAAAGCGAACACCGGACAGTATTTTATTTTTTGCATTATTTTCTCAGCCTCAAAGATACTCATCACAAGTGATTTTTTTTTTCTATTTAGCCAAAGTGTCAAAGCATTAAGGTAAATGACTCATGGGAATAATTTAGCTTTATAACGTAGCCTAGTGGCTAGTTTTAATATCTATGTGCCTGTTGTGAAAGCCCCTGCTGACTTCTTTTATGACAGAATGTACTGGAAACGGACATCAGAAAACCTTCATGTGAGCTATGGTTGAATTGACGCCTGGGGGGCAATGTTTTCTGTTGACAAGCTATTTTGAGCACTCTTGACTCTTCCTAGACCTTGACCATGAAATTGCTTGCTTTGGGCTAATTCTTCCAGACTACTCACAGCGCCACGGCTCTTTCGACTTTAGAAAAATACTGAGAAAACAATGCCGCAGCAGTTGTTTAATGTTTGAACGTTTACACGGCGCACTGTTTTTGACTGGACAAATGTTCGAATGAAATCAAAACTAACCATATTGATTCTGTTAGCGCACCTTGCTAGTTCTGTGGTGAACAATTCATCTCTGCATGTAGACTAGAAAAATGTTTAGTGGGCTAGCAAAATCAACACTGCAAGTCACATGCATTGCTCAGGTGTGAGTTTTTCACAGACTTCATCAGTGTGTCGGAATCTTGACGGTTCTGTGGGTTTTGTCTATCAAATCTGAGCTTTAATTCATAATCTCTATTGGATTCAGATCAGGTGATTGGTTGAGCCATTCTACAGCTTGATTTTCTTTCTCTGAAAGCATTTAAGAGTTTCTTTGGCTGTATTTTGGATCATTGTCTTGCTGAAATGTCCACCCTGGTTTCATCTTCATCCTCCTGCTGATGTAGATGTTGGACTGAAGCAGCTGATATTCATTTACACTGAGGACGGGCAGAGATTTGCTGAAGAACTACTGAGAGATTTCAGCTGCTGTCTGGGCTTTCACTGCCTTTCTACACCTTCCTTTCTTTATGTGTTCAATACTTTATTTTGTTACGCATAACTTCATTTGTAACCTAATTAGCTTAATTTTCTTTGCATATAAGGATTTCTTTGGTTGTTCCCAACATTCTAGGAAAATTTCAAGTCAACAGCACCTTCAGAAACACGTTTTCTGAGTAAAACGGAGACCTATTAAGGGCTTATTTCCCACACTGTATATGACAGTCATTGGTAATGGTACCTTCATAAACAGCAGAGAAGCCTTTTCCCACCCAGTTGCTGCTGCTGCGGAACTCAATCCACAGGCGACTGTCTGTCGAGATGATCGGATCAGGTAATTTATCCCCACAGAATCGACCTGCAAACAGATCGACATGAATAATCAAGCTTGAATCCGACCTATTTTATGATTAAAAACATTATACGTTCATCTCAAACCTTTCAACGGTGCTTTCCTCCAATATCCATCCCTGATTTCCACGTGATCGTACCAACATAAATGACTCCGGTATAAATCCATGGATGTAAAGTTCAGGATGATCTTAGGAAAAAAATAAATGAACAGCCAAATGTTATTGAAGCAAACTCTACATATGTAATATTGTTACAGATTTCAATTATTTTTGGAATTGAAACAAAGTTGAAATATTTATATCGATATTTATGCCTATTTGATAAGTCAAACTCTGTGGAATAAGTTTTGTCGGATTCATTAAGAAGTCATTAATCATCCATTGCTATTTAAAAATGAATTCTAATTATATTCAATTATTATATTTATAGTTAATAATTATAAATGAAAGTTAATTATTTTAATGTGATTTAAACTTTATTTTATACCGTTTGCTTATAATTTGATGTGTACTGTAAGGGTTAAATGTTGTGAAATTTATAATATAAAAGTTTGATTATATTCATTTGTGTGGCAGTTTTACGCTTCAAAGCTTACACATGCAGTTTTTAAATTAAAAACGAAAAAATTATTGAACAATATTTAATATTAAGCAATACTGGACAATTATTACTGTTTATCCTGTTTTTCTAGGCAGTATTGATAACCTGCCAGGAAAAAAAGCATTATTACATGTAGTAAATATTATATATCCAGTATATTGACAATAAGCTGGACTGGTCCAAGAACTCTCTGGTCACATATAAGAAGGGTCAAAGTAGGCTGTATTTCCTACGTAAACTCTGATCTTTTAGAGTCTGCAACACCATGTTGCGTATGTTCTATGAGTCTGTAGTGGCCAGTGCCATTTTCTATGCTGTGGTGTGCTGGGGTGGTAGTGTAAAAGTGGCAGATATGAAGAGATTTAACAACTTGATTAGGAAAGCTGGCTCTGTGGTGGGTGAGGAATTGGACAATATGGAAACTGTGGCCGAAAAGAGAACATTGTGCAGACTTCGGTCAATTATGCACAATGTAGATCATCCTCTTCATAATGTGGTTGACGAGCTGAGAAGTACCTTTAGTCACAGACTTCCCAGCTTAAAGTGTTCCACTGGTCCTTCCTTCCCACTGCTATCAGACTTCATAACGTCTCCCTCAGTCACTTACCCTTACAGTAATCTATGCAATACCTTGCTGCTCGTGCCATATATTACTTATTACGGGTTTTAGTGTGTGGAAGTCTGTGCATTATGTTTTATGATGTGCAATAATCTACTAGGTGCAATATTTGTTCGTTTTTTTACTGGGTCTTAAGTATTTTTAGTGCAATATCACTGTTTTTTTTAAATGAGTGCTGAATCACTTTACTACTTGAAATATTTTATGTGTAATTGTTTTATGTGTAATATTATTGGTTTTGGTTAATATTATTTTCATTACTTGATATATGACTTAATAGTATTAGTTCTATTTAATTCTTTTAAGTGTAATATCTTATATAATAGTGTGTATACTTATGTATTGTGGCTGTTTCCTTTTATAGATTGGTTGGATTTATGTGACTTATTTCACTTATTTAATTTATTTTGTCTTGTGGTTTTGTGTTTCTGTGTTTTGTGTGTTATGGCAGTCATTACATAAGCAATTTCCTGCGGGATCAATAAAGTTTTCTAATTCTAAGGCTAAGTCTAAAGACGTCGTCTCACAATTGCTGAATGTTACACGACAACGTTGCTACAACCTTCCCACGTCATACATTTCTGTAGCGAGCACGTAAGTGGCGATGTTGCCTTGGAAAAAATGTAACGTTGTACAGAGTTCCTTTGAAGGCCTGCCTTCAAGAGGCTCTGATTGGTCAGCTAACAATGTGCTGTGATTCGCGGATCAGCTCCACATTACCACGTCACACCTGGTAAAGTGTAGATTGGCACTGTATAATAAATAATAATAAGTTTTGTCCGATTCATTAAGAAGTCATAAGTCATCCATTGCTATTTAGAAATTAATTCAAATTATACATTGATCTATAATGAATTTAGATTATTACGTTTTTCCAGTTTTTGCCCACACAAACAAAATACAACATCCCATCTAATCACCTTTTCACCCGGCGTGACTGAAATCCTCCAAATGCAGTGCATATATGCTGAATAACCATTCGGATAACCAGGAGACGAGAAGTTCCCGCTGCTCTCCTGCAAACTATCTCCGCATCCTAGAACGCGGAGAAAAGAAAAGTCATCAGCGGACAGCGTTTATAACCAGCTAACAACGCGACAGTTCATAACACATGAACAAGATGAGATCAGTTACACGATGGCCCATGGAGCGTAAAAAACAACAGCAAAAACACATACACACACACACACATACACACACACACATGTTTGTTTTTGTGAAAAGTGGGGACATTACATAGGTTTCCATTCATTTTATACTGTCCAAACTGTATATTATATTGCCCTCACCCCACCCCTAAACCCAACCATCACAGAAAACTGCGTGCAGCTTTACTCTCCGATTAAACTCATTCTGTAGGATGTATTAGCATTTTGAGAAACGAGGACGTCACCAATGTCCTCATATTTCACCTCCTTTTTGTAATACCTGTGTCCTACCCATGTCATTATACAGATTTGTGTCCTGATATGTCACAAAAACACGTACACACACACACACACACACACACATAAGTCTGGATTGTCTATGTTGCGCCTTGAGCACTTTCATGTTCTGAAGCACATCTGCTTTTAATGTTACACACCTGCCTAATATTCACAGCGGAGACAAAGAGATGGAAATAAAAGTGAGGTAATATTCAAGCTGAAAGGGATTGCTTTTATATGGTGCCTTTGGGCAATTAAAATGAACCAAATCATGGGCCGAATACTGTATTAGAAGTGCTGGTAATTAAACGCTCCGGTGCTCGCTGTGGAAAACACGGCAAAGCGGCATTGCTTCATTAAATGTCAACATAACAGCGGTTTCATCATATTTTCATTAAAGATACATATGTAACAGAGTCTTTAAGTTTACACCTTCTGGTTGTTTATAATGAGCAACTTTATTCTGCTTGTCATATGATTATTCATCAAAGAAGTAAAAACAAATAAGAAGAAGCTAAACAACTGAAATATTAAAATAAAACACTAAACTTGTATTTTTTTCAAGATTGTAGTATTCAGCTTAAAGTGACATTTAAAGCATTAACTAGGTTAATTAGGGTAAAGTTAGGGTAATTTAGGCAAGTCATTGTATAACAGCGGTTTGCTCTGTAGACAATCAAAAATATACAGCTTAAGGGGGCTAATAATTTTGACCTTAAAATGTTTTTTTAAAAAATTTAAAAAACTGCCTTTATTGTAGCTGAAATAAAACAAATAAGACTGTCTTCACAAGAAAACAATATGATATTAAATACTGTGAAAAAATCATCTGTTAAATATCATTTATATATATATATATATATATATATATATATATATAGTGGAAGTAAAAAAAAACACACACACAGTTGAAGTCAGAATTATTAGCCCCCCTGATTTATTAGCGCCCCTGTTTATTTTTTTCCCCAATTTCTGTTTAATGGAGGGAAGATTGTTTCAGCACATTTCTAAACATAATAATTTTAATAACTCATTTCTAATAACTGATTTATTTTTATCTAATAAAAATAATATAATTTATAATTTTATAAAAAATTATATATATATTATCTAATAAAATAATATATACTATTATATTATTTATTTTATCTTTGCCATTATGACAGTAAATAATATTTTACTTGATACTTTTCAAGACATTTCTATTCAGCTTAAAGTGACATTTAAAGGCTTAACTGGGTTAATTAGGTTAACTAGGCAGGTTCGGATAATTAGGCAAGTTATTATATAATGATTGTTCGTTCTGTAGACTATCGGGGAAAAATATAGCTTAAAGGGGCTAATCATTTTGACCTTAAAATGGTGTTTTAAAAATTAAAAACGGCTTTTATTGTAGCCGAAATAAAACAAATAAGACTTTTTCCAGAAGAAAAAATGTTATCAGACTTGCTGTGATACTTGATACTTTTCAAGACATTTCTATTCAGCTTAAAGTGACATTTAAAGGCTTAACTAGGTTAATAAGGTGAACTAGGCAGGTAAGGGTAATTAGGTAAAAAATTTGCTTAAAGGGGCTAATAATTATGTCCCAAAAACTATGTTTAAAAAATTAAAAACTGCTTTTATTCTAGCCAAAATAAAACAAATAAGACTTTCTCCAGAAGAAAAAATATTATCAGACATACTGTGAACATTTCCTTGCTCTGTTAAACATCATTTGGTAAATATTTTAAAAAGAAGAAAAAAAATCAAAGGGGGGCTAATAATTCTGACTTCAACTGTATGTAACACAAATCAGATTAAATGAGTACATACACAAATAGAGGAGGTCATTCATTACACGCTGCTCTGAAATTGTAAACAAACTTTTTACTACTTTTAGTGACACTTTTTAAAATATTTAATAAAACATTTCATCAAATCAACGCCTTCCGAAGTTTAAATATCATATTATGGTGTACATATCATTTTATTGTTTACTTTTATGACTTTACATTTGTTAAAGTTTCATGTGTTTGCTTTAAGGTTTCTGCTCCTACAGTAGTCTGTGTTTAAACAAGTCTGGAAAGTTTACATGCAGGATGTCTTGTACTGCATCAAGCTTCTGTAGCCTAGAAAGCAACTGTTCTCTGCTCTGTTTTATCAGAGAAAGACAAATGACAAACTTCCTGCGCTTCAGCAGTGTTTACTCTGCCTTCCCCAAAGCCAGGATTCACAGAAAAGCCAAGAAACCAAAGCGCATTAAAGGTGGACGTATGTTGTTTTTTTTCCAAACAGATTCAACCCTCAGTCAAACACAAGATTCTGTAATGAGGGCAAATGTCACTGAAAGGCACTTTTGGGTTTTTCAGGAATCCTTCTGCCTTTTTTCCTCTGCAAAAATACCTTCATGTTCCCTTTAATATGACACATTTACTTAAAAATGTATTCATTTTAAATACTTTTTTTCATATTTTTTCTTATACTGCTATGGGGTGTAATAATGAACAAAAAGATTCAATAATAATAATAATAATAATAATAATAATAATAATAATAATAATAATAATAATAACTTATGGTCAAAGATGATTTTTGATGAACGAAACTATACAATAACAGTTATAATATTAATATATTTAGTTTTATAAATTAAAATGTATTACTACAATTTGGTAAAAAATATTTTTATTTATGTATTTATTTTATTTATTTATTTTTTGCTGACCACAAAAATATTTTCTCCATTTTTTCATTTCGATTTACAGCGTAACATTAGTTTAAATACCATAACATCTTGTCAGGCATTTACTTGTAAATGTATTTGTTTGAAAAAGTAAAAAAATAAATAAAATAAAATAAATAAATAAATTATATATAATAAAAAAATATATATTTTTTCTTTTTTTATTAATTAAATTGTATTACCATTAGGTCAAAGATTTTTATTTTTTTATTTTTTTGCTTAGTTAAAAAAATATTTCCTTAAATCTTTTCTTCCATTTACACTGTGACTTTGGTTTAAATACAATAAAATACAACAAATATCTTGTCAGGCATATTCTTTAAAATGTTATGTTTAAAACAAAAATTTGTAACATTTATTTTTAAAAGAAAACAAATTACTTTGGGGTGTAATAATGGACAAAACTATTCAATAAAAGATCTAACGACAATATATATTTTATTAATTATATTGTATTATTACAATTTGGTCAAAGACAAGAACGTTTTATTTTTTTTGCTGAAAATAAAACATATTTCCTCACATTTTTACTTCTATTTACAGTGTAACATCAGTTTAAATACCATAGCATCTTGTCAGGCATTTACTTGTAAATGAATTTGTTGGATAAAAAAAAAAATTTAATTAATTAATTAACATTTTGTTATATTTCCTGATATTTTTGTAAAATATTTAAAATATATAACTTTGTATATAGCAATGAAAACAAATTGCTATCGTGTGTAATAATGTACAAAACTATAAAAAGTATAATAATAATAATAATAATAATAATAATATATTTTTGTTGTTAATTAAATTGTGTTCCTACAGTTTTGTCGAAAATGACGAAAATGTACTTTTTTTATGTTGAAAAATAAATAAAGAAATAATTCTCAAATCTTTATGTCAATTTACAGTGTAACATTCGTTTTCATACCACAAAATCTTTTCAGGCATATACTTGAAAATGTAAAAAAAAAATACATAAATGTTATAAATGTCTTAAAAGAGAACAAATTTCTATGGGGTGTAATAATCAAAAAATTATTCAATAATAGCTATAATAATAATAATAATAATAGTAATAATAATTTTATTATTAAATTGTATTATTACATTTTGGTTAAAGACAAAAATGTTTTTTTTTTTTTTTTGCTGACAACAAAACATCTTTTCTCACATATTTACTTCCATTTACAGTGTAACATCAGTTTAAATACCATAACACCTTGGCAGGCATATTCTCAGTAATGTTTTAAAGTCAACATATGCGTAATTCTCTTACTTGGACACTTGTAAAGTTTGCGTGCCTGTGCGATGTCTCCTTTACTCAACCTGGTCCTCTGACCTATAGGAGGCCGGACGCCGTTCACATCATATCGTGGCAGAATAGTGTCCAGAAATATCCCTCTGTCAAGAAACAAACACAAGAAAAAAATCGGAATGAACAGACAAACCTGTTAGTAGTTATTTTAAAGGTCCCATGTAGTGCTTAGAAATGTGCATTTTTATTGGACGTTTGATGTAATCTCAAATTAAATATAAAGAGAGATCAGGACATAGAGCAGCTCCTCCCCCTTAAAAAAACAGCCAATAGCGTTCTGCCAGTGAGAGTGGTTGAGCTCAAGCACATCAAATTAAAAGCAAATGAGAAGAAGTCGGTCTGATACTAAAGAGCATTTGATTGGTCAAGATTTGATGAGAAACTGAAGTATGAGATGAAAAACTACACGCTTTACATGTTTACATCAGTTTTATATCTTTTAAACACATTTTCTTGGTGCACACTAGCTTATAGATATCTTAAAAACTAGCATTAATGATCCACATCTAAAAAACGTTTAATTTTATGGGACCTGTAACTCTCCATCTGCAGCACTATCTCCAGTTGTTCAGGAATGTCTCTCCCTGCACTGAATTATGGGCACTTGTATAAACACAAATGTTATCTCATGTTTAAAGACACTGCAGTGGCAAGTTGCAGCAGATGCACAGAATGTGGCGGTTTGAGCTCAACAGGCTGTAAAGTCGTTTTGCGGAGCACACAACAACCCAAAAGGCGCTCCAGCCAAGCCGTATTATCCACGTTATCCGAGTTATGGAAGTTGTGGCCAGTGGCTCACTTTTCCTTATGTTTTCTGCACAACACTCCATACAATGCTCTGCAAAAAATATTTTCTGTCTCGTTTCGAGTACAAATATATGAACAAATTTTCCAGACAAGCAAAAAAACAATAATAACAGTCTTGTTTTTGATTTGATTTGATAAAAAAAATTTATTGGCCAATTGGCACATACTTTTCTTGTATAAGGGGACAAGTCAATTAATTTGGACACCATTTCAGTGAGAACTGATGATTATTTTAGATATTTTGGACTAGAAGCAAGACAAAAAACTCAAGAAACTTTTCATGAAAAGCATTTTACACAGCAAAAGTGCTTTACTTAAGATTTGTGCGGTCTTGATTCTAATACGAATATCTAACAATTCTTAAAGCAGTAAGCATTTCCTAGACAAGAAATATAAAATATTGTTTTGTTTCCAGAAATATTAAGTCAAAATCAAGTGAGTTTTTTTTTCTTAAAACAAGTCAAATAATCTGCCAGTGGGGTAAAGTCATCAGATGTTCAGTTTAAAGTAGGTTATTTTAGTTGTTTATTATGTCTCTCCACACGCTGAATTATGGGCACTTGTATAAACACAAATGTTATCTCACGCTTAAAGACACTGCAGTGGCAAGTTGCAGCAGATGCACAGAATGTGGCGGTTTGAGCTCAACAGGCTGTAAAGTCATTTCGCGGAGCACACAACAACCCAAATGGCGCTCCAGCCAAGCCGTATTATCCACGTTATCCGAGTTATGGAAGTTGTGGCCTGTGGCTCACTTTTTCTTATGTTTTCTGCACAACACTCCATACAATGCTCTGCAAAAAATATTTTCTTTATCTTCTGTCTCGTTTCTAGTACAAATATCTAAAAATTCATTGTTTTGGTTGTTGTTTTTAATACAAATATCTAAACTTATCTAAGATAAGTAAATTTTTCTTGTAGATATAGAAATATCTAAATCAAGCAGCATTTTCAGGACGAGGAAAACAAATATTGTTTTGTTTTTAGAAATAATAAGTCAAAATCAAGTCGAGTTTTTTTCTTAAAATGAGCTAAATAATCTGCCAGTGGGATAAAATAATCAGAATTTCAGTTTATAACACTCCCTACAATGCACTGGAAAAAAATAAAAATAAAAAAATAAATAAAACTACATTGTTTTTGTTTTGAAATGTTTTAAATTTTTTTTACCCTATTGGGCACATTTCTATTCATGTATTAGGGGAAAAGTCAATTAATTTAGAATTTTCTTTAGAAAGAATTGAAGAATTTTTTAAATATTTTGGACTAGAAACAAGACAAAAAGTCATTCGTCTTAAATTGTGCATTTGAAGAAAATCTTTTTTTGCACTGCAACAGTGCTTAAGATTTGTGTGCTCTTGTTTCTAATACAAAAATCGAAAAAAAAAACTTAAATCAAGAAGCAGTTTCTAGAACAGAAAAATAAATATGGTTTTGTTTTCAGAAATATTAAGTCAAAATCAAGAGCTTTTTTCTTAAAATGGGATAAATAATCTGCATAAAATAATCAGAATTTCAGTTTAAAGTAAGTTTATTTTATTTGCCACACTGGAATTTTTATAATAATAATAATAATAATAATAATAATAATAATAATAATAATTACAATAATAATATTAATAATAATAACAATAATAAAAACAACAACAACAACAACAACAGCAACAACAACAACAACAACAACAACAACAACAATAATAATAATAATAATAAGAAGAAGAAGAAGAATTACAATAATAATATTAATAATAATAACAATAATAACAATAATAAAAACAACAAAAACAGCAACAACAGCAACAACAACAACAACAACAACAATAATAATAATAATAACAATAACAATGATAATAGGAATAATAATAATAATAATAATAATAATTACAATTATAATATTAATAATAATAACCATAATAACAATAATAATAATAATAACAATAATAATAATAATAATATAATAATAATAACAATAATATTATTAATAATAATCATAACAACAATAATAATATTTTTTTATGAAAAACATACTCATTTTTCACTTATACTGTCAAAACTGACAGGTGGAGGGGTGTGGTTAAGTATGTAAGCCACGGCCAATACCTCAGACAGACGTAATCTGAGGCTGCGTCTGAAAATCGCATACTTCCATACTATATACACTCTCAGAAATACAGAAGCTGAAATTGGGGCAGTACCTTTTCAAAAGATACATTTTTATATTCAAAGAGTCCACAGTGGTACCTCAAAGGTGCCCAAAAGTACCTAAAACATACCTTTGAGATACCATTATGGACCTTTCAGGGACAAATATGTATCTTTAGAAAAGGTTACTGCCCCAGTGACAGTTCCTATACCTTGATTTCTGAGAGTGTAGTGCGCTAAAATCAGGATGCGGGTTGAGTAGAAGTACAAGGAGGACTTAATATTTTTGGCGAGATTCTGAAGTGCCCCGCGAGAGAATTCATGAAAGGGAGTGAAGCGACGCAACTGATGCAGGTAGGTCATGTGATCATGACAAAATGGCGGATGTAGTACATTCGAATTCCATTCATACTGCTCACATTCATAACATACTTTTCTAACGATAGAGTAGTACATTTAAATTCAAATGCAGTAGGAAATTTTGGACGTAGCCTGAGGTTTTACCTGAAAAGATAACAAGAACAAACTATTTTTATTATCTTAACGACACGCACAGATTAATTGTTCACCATAAAACTAGCAACACGAGCTAACAAAATCAATACGGCTAGTTTTGATTTCATCTGTACGTTAAGCCTCAAGTCACATTTATGTTTCCACTACAAACGTGTCTGCATGACATGTCTGGATGTGGTTTGAGGGAGCAGATCATAATCTTTTCCAGCACTGTTTTACATCATACTGACCAACAGTAGTCTGGATTGCAGTGACTCAAACCATAATAAAACCCCAGAGGTCTGATGACTGTTCGCAATGTTTGTATGCTAACTTAAACGATTATCTCTCGAGGGACAGTCGGTGATCTCACGGGGATGCCGGTTTGAGACAGACAGTGACAGCCGAAACATGACCTGAATTCCTGCTCCATTTGGCAACAGCTTCATGTGTGTGTGACGTCACTCTCCATTGGTCACTTCAAGGCTAATGCCTCTTTAAAAGTCATGACATGTACACAAATCAATGAACCGCCAACTTTCCAGTATATGTTTTACGCAGTGGATGCCCTTCCAGCCGCAACCCATCACTTGGAAACACACACATTCATTCACACACTCATACACTAAAGTCAATTTTAGCCTACCCAATTCACCTGTACTGCATGCTTTTGGACTGTGGGGAAAAAACCAGAGCACCCGGGGGAAACCCACGCGAACACAGGGAGAACATGCAAACTCTACACAGAAATGCCAACTGACCCAGGCTTGAACCAGCGACCTTCTTGCTGTGAGGTGATTGTACTACCCACTGCATCACCGTGTGAATTTAACAACTTTTTCAAGACTTCAGCAAAACTTTATTACTTTTTATTTTTAAGTTCTATGACTTTTTCTGTTTTTTATGACTTTACAAACCCAACAACACAGGCTGGGCAAATATATATAGAATCTGAGCTTGACAATGTTGCCGCTCTCCAACTCGAGCTGAAACAACATTTGCACAGTTCAACAAGGAGTGATTCAGTATCGAAATCCTTTGACTCTCTGCTGGGTTCAGGTCCGTTTTTTGTGGCCTCCTCGTGTGTTTGTTCCCATAGGAACCGTCCGGTCAACAGCAGGCATGATCAAATAGGGAGGATTGGACTTTTCAGAGCTCCACTACACACACTTTATATAAATATCAGTGCAGAAATACACTCATATCAAGGAAATTAACAGTTCCCTGCTGAAAAATCCAGCTTAAACCAGCCTAGGCTGGTTGGCTGGTTTTAGCTGGTCAACCAGGCTGGTTTTAGAGGGGTTTTGGCCACTTTCAGGCTGGTTTCCAGCCATTTCCAGCCTGGTCTTAGCTGGTTAGGCTGGGAGATGACCAGCTAAAACCAGCTTGACCAGCCTGGCAGGCTGGGAGCCCAGCCAAAACCAGCTATGTCCAGCTTAAACCAGGCTGGTCAAGCTGGTTTTAGCTGGATTTAGCTGGTCATTTTCCAGCCTGACCAGCTAACCAGTTAAGAAAAATTTTCCAGCCAGGTCATTTTCCAGCCTGACCAGTTAAGAAAAACAAATGTTGCACATATACTGTTTGCTTAATGGATTGCAAAAACTTTAAAGCTCAATATCTCAAAATCATTCAGAAAGCAAAG